GAAGACCCAGGACACGCTGGAGGGACTATGTCTCTTGGCTGGCCTGGGAACACCTCGGCATTCCTCCGGAGGAGCTGGAGGAAGTGTCTGGAGAGAGGGAAGTCTGGGCATCTTTGCTTAGACTGCTGCCCCCGCAACCCGGTCCCGGATAAGTGGAGGAAAATGGATGGATGGATGTTTGTATATAAGGCTGTACATGGTCTGGCTGGCACCTTCATATATTTCTGAGGGCTTAGGGCACTTAGGGCTTCAAACCAGTTGTTCCTGGAAGTACCGAAGTCCAGATGGAAACATTGGGGAGACCGAGCTTTTTCAGTTTGGGCTCCTATACTGTGGAATGGTCTGCCAGGGGAGATTAGATCTGCTCCGAACCTGACTGTTTTTAGATCACCTGTCAAAACGCATTTGTATTCATGGGCCTTTGACAATTTTATTGATTGATGTATTTGTTTTGACTATGCATTTTTGTTATTTTATTGTGTAGATATGTTTTATCTGGTTTTATGTATTTTTATTATTTTTTATGTTTTACTGGAAAGCACCTTGTAATGCAGGTTTAGAAAGGTGCTATATAAATAAATTTTGCTTGCTTGCTTATTAAATGACACTTTTTGTTAACCTGACTGCGATGGTGGGGATGCCACAGTATTTTCAAGAACATTATTAATCTGAAACCTTTTAACCCAAATCAATAATACATTGATCCATGTGGTGTAATCAATGAGCTGCTGTTAGCATGAGGGGCTCTTCCAGATAGAGGTTTATAGAAAAAATATGGTGAATAACTCCAGCACTGACTAAAGTGTGACCTCATGAAGAGAAGATCGAAGATAAGTAGAAAATGATAAAGAAAGGGGAGTGATGAACAGATCAGCAATACGGCCCACAGGGAAAACACTGTCACCTCATTTCCTCAGTGTCAGGTCATTTTAAATAAACAAATGTTCAAACCAGATGTTCAAGATGTTCAGGCAGAACTGGTACTCAGATATGTTCACAAATGAGACACAGAATGATGCTGGAGTGTGTATGTTTTCAAGGGCGGGGGCTTTAAGTAGTGAAGAGGTATTTATTTGTTGCCTAAATCTAGCACAGAAAGACATGAATGAGGACATTTATTGAACTTGGAAAAAATTATTCTCCTTATTACTGCATTTAACTGGGTAATTAGGGGCAGAACTGTCCTGAGACTTCACATATTTTTGGGCTCATTACTGTACAAAGTGTGAGTCTCAGGGTGCTGCACACAGTTTCTTCCTCAAAATGTGAGAGTAATTTCCAGTGATCCTTCAATAGAATCTCATCCACTCAAAAAAAAGAAAATAGTGCTGTATGTACTTTCTTGGTAAAACAAAGAAGAATATAATCAAGAAGGAAGCTCCAGGGATTGCAAAGACAAAGAAAGTGTTATAACCCACATTTACTTTTTGAAGAATTAAAGAAGCAACAGAAAGTATTGTCTTCTTTCTAACTCATTTTAATCCTGTCATATTTATGCAACTAAACTCATAGTAGAGACATTTATTTAGGATATTCAAGTCTGAATGAATGTTTATGCAAAATACTATTTCCTGTAGAGCAGAAATTATGACATAATATTGTAGTTGTATGTCAGTCTAGTTGGCATTTTCAACACCTTGTCTGGGCTATAAAAAAACAAAACAAAAACATTAACCACTGCTCACAGGCGACAATTCATTCAACAATACAATAAGATAAATGCTACTGCCATCAAAATAACCTTTTTACTGTTCCAAACAAGACTCACATGCATTTTCTGGTTAACATCTGGACTGTCCCAGCTGCCATTCAGATTAGAAAACATTATTTTCTTATAAATTCAATTTTCACAGTAAAAATTATCCTGAAGTATTTTTGTCAGTGACATCACAACAACCAAGTTACTTGAAAAATGTTTTTCTCAAATGTATTCCTTTAACCTTCTTGAAACGCTGCACTATTTCCACACAAATAAGACTTCATGCAGACTTCCAACAACAGCAACAAACCAAAATCCAGGTATTGTGAACCAATTTCACAACAGTACATTTCCACATGGAAATCTCAAGAGGCATGGGTGCATTTTATATAAAAAAAAGATTTCATGCTCCTGTTCATTCAGTTTGGTAGGAGGGAAGCATCAACACATGAATTCTTCAGTGACTGCACTATTTATAACTTTACATGCTTATTGTTTGGCTCTTTGGCTTTAGGTGGTCACAGAATCGACTGGGTTTTTGACTAAATACACTATGACATGTTGTTTCTCTGCCCGTGCTTGACCCCCTACTGGACATTTCTCACACAGTGACAGGGTGGCAAAAATTACATGACATGGATCACTAAATATAGCAAGAAAGGCTGCCACTAAGATGCTAAGAAGCAAATAAGAGAACAACAGTGCACTTCTTTTTCAGGTAAGGCCACTGTCTTCTTCCTCATTGCTCTCTTTCTCCCCAGCCATAAGGGTGGATGGTAAAATTTAGACCAGCAGTTGCTAATGTCTCCGAGGCTTGGAGATAACCAGTCTAACTTTCAGTGCTTCAATTCCTATGGAACTGAACACATTACACATCCTGATTTATGGTTGATCACATTTAGACTGTCACAACATAATGTAATGCAAACAGGGATAAGCCACAGGCCTTACTGTCATTAGTTTTTATCAGAACTACTTTCTTCTAAAGAATTTGTCACTGTGGAAAGGGACTGTGCTGCTGTTCAACTTTTTAAATATACATTTTCACTGCTGTGAGCATTAAAGGTTGACATATACAGTATTTCCACCATACACATCTTACAGCGGCACCCTGCTGCTATAAAATTACTGCTGCCGCTGCTTCAGAATTTTATGAAATGTCATGACGTTGCAATTATATGTATAGGGATTTTACTTTGAAATGAGTGGAGACGCGTAGCAAGAGGCAAGAAGGCGAGAGACAGAAAGAAGTAACTAACATTAGGTTAGACAGATTTTACAGTTTAAACCTAACAAACTTTTATTATATACTGTATACTTATTACTGTTAGCTATCAATATATGTGGCAGTCAAAATAATCTAGCAGAAACACTGATCCCGTTTTCATTTGCCTTGTTTGTATTGCAGAAATCTGACAGACACAAAATCAAATCAGAACTGTACCTTCCACTGTTTACTGTAGTAATTTCTAGTCTATAATTTTAGATTGATCAACCCTTAGAGTGGAAGAACAGGGGCACAGAGGAGCTGCCTTTATATGTTTATATAACTCTGTGCCATCACTTACGGGTCAGATCAGTCAGGCCGAATTCTTAACAGCAGGCTAATTAATACATTAACATGCTATATACAGTAGACTTCATTAAACTTGAAAATCACTTAGCAACGCTAGTTTTACTATTACTATAAAGTTACATTCACCACTGAATCTGGCCCGACAGAGTCCATTATTGTCACTGTGATTTGTGTCTTTCCACACTTCTGAGGAACTTGAAATAATTACTGCCCTTAGACAAGATCTCGTCTCAAAGGTATGTTAATGCCAGCAGTCAAAACCGTCTACTTCATATCCCCATGTAGACTGAATTAACAGCAGATGTAGTGAGCCTAAGATGATAACATCTCCACTCATTTAACCTTGTGCTATAAAGCAGAAGGTGCTTTAGTCGCTGTGGTGGGCCAAAGCTGTATTTTATCTTCGGTAGCTCCTGGGGCGTTTACAAAGAATGGTGTATGCTTTTAAAAGCTTTCCTTAATCAGACTGTTACACACAAGGAAACCTTTTTAGAGACCTTTTGTCCATTGTTAAGGAAGACAAATATCATTGTCTTTGTGTCACAAGAGCAAGGGCAGGAATCAACAGCTGCAGCAGTTGTTCAGACAGACGCAGTGTGCTTAGGCTCAGGGCTGTTGACTTACCCCTGTTTGACTGCTTTGCTCTTGTTCACATCGATGGTGGTGATGGAATGCTTGGCGCCCGACTGAACCTCCCAGTCCACTTTCCACTGGGCATTCTTCGATCTGGTCTGGAGCAGGTTCACCCCTTTCTTCGCTTTCACCCTGCAGGATGGGACAAGTCAGTTTTATTAGAGCCGATGATTTATGTGCCAGGTCAGAGGTGAACGCCCTCTGTGTGCGGCAGTCCTCCTCCTTGTATTGCGTCATGGCAAAAGCAATTCCACAGATGAATCAATAAAAGAGATGAATGAAGATGACAGTACAATGATACATGAGAGCAGAAGGCTAGGGCTACTCCAAGTCAACGTGTTCACAAACACTTTCTATAAAATCTAATCTACGAGCCTTTATACTGCACCCACTGGGCATTTATATGTTATTATTAACCGGTGACATTTGAAAGCCTCCAAATTCAGTTCATGTTACTTGTGAGAATATTTAGAACTAATGATGCCTTTGAATTCCCATTAATAACTGAACAAATAATGTTGAATTTCCTAAAGACACTTCTGATACTGTACTGATTCTGAGGTGAAATCCTCCTTTTTAACCCTTGGATTGTCAAGGAGGACATAATGGAGAGCAGAAGCTCTGGAGCTGGTAGGAATTTACATTTTGTTGCTCATACTCCCTGGTGTTTCTAAATATTTCAGGTGTTTGTATTAGATAGCCCAGACCTGAAATGCAATGAGTGGAATATTGTGAACATCATAAGGGTTAATTTCTACATTTATAGCTTTAAAACACTGCTTAGATTGTTTCAAAAATATATTAATATAAGAAATATGCAAATGAAAATTGCAAATACAATTAAAATCATTCTCTTACATTTAGAGCCGCGACAATTAGTTAATAGATTATTCAACTCCAATGTGATGTATGTTTGTTTTTTAAATTTTATCTATGACAGTAAATTTCTTCTGCCCATTATCCCCAAGTGCTTGCTCAAGGGGGATCTGTTGGGTTTTTCTCTATAATATTGTAAGGTCTAGACCTTACTTAAACATAATGAGTTTAACTTTGCAGTTGCTCCCAGATATTCAATAACTAAGAGATGTGAATGTCAGAAAGAAGGATTTTCTTCTGGGAAAAGGACATTTCTGGTTATTAAATGCTAAAGCAAACAAAGAATGATGAGAGAAAATGTCTGGTTCTATACAATGTCCTTTAATGTTAATGGATATCTTCATCACAGCACTAGTTTTCACCTCAAACCAAGAGGCTATTCAAATCAGTGACAGATAATTTGACCTTTACAATCAGCTGGATAACAAACCAGCTCAGGCAGCTGTCCTGTGTGACTTTAGATTCTAGACATGTTATTGAGGTGTCCACGGGCAGAATACAAAACAGCAGAGAGAAAAAAACCAAAAACACTTTCTTTCTAGTGATTGTGATTCTAGTTATTTGACCACAGAGCGACACCCTACTCCTGCACCGATGTATGATGGAGACAAATGGCTCAGAGCCATTCGTAATTATTGATCTGATGGCCTCATTTTCATGAAATACAAGACGAAGATGAATTATTAATATGTCTGGCTTTTGTCTGCTTTGAGCCTTCAAGGCAATTCAATAATAACCAGACTGAAAGCTAAGAAAGTGTTAGCTCATAAATGATCCTCACGGGCACTAAGAAAATGTTTGAAATTCTGTATTAAATTTTAAATGTTAATAATATGGGTAGTATCACACAGTGATGTCCAGAAGGTTGTCACTTTGATTATCAAAATTGCTGCTTTCCTGCAGGCAAAACTCTGGAAATCTTTGTCTTGTTTCGAGGATGACACTGTGTTGTTTTTCACTTCCAGCCATGAGGTCATTGTATTTCCACTCTGACAAACAACAGTTCTTTCTGGACAAACTCACTGAACGCATTACCTAAATCATATTTCCCTCACAAGTGTTGCATTTACATTTAGCTGAAAGTTTGAGGCCCCTGAATCATTTTCCAAATTATTCCATTTATTTCTTTGACAGATAAAAATTCTGAAGTCCCACTGAGGTGTTTCCATTTGCTACGCTAACCTGAGCTCAGTGCATTGACCACTCATCCATGATTTGTGAAAGCAATTGACTTTCAGCTGCAGCTGTCTCCTCCTCTTCAGCCAGAATAGGCACACAGCTCAAACAGAATATGCACGTTTTTATCACTACCATTCTTGGATTGCTCCTAGTACTATTGAAAAATGATTGAAGGAAACCATGCAAGCTTATCATAGCCATTAACTAACATAATCATTAACCATCAAGTCTTACATAATGTCTTCCACAAGTTAAAATAAGTTTATATTTGGCTTCTCTCTTTCATTAGTTCTAACCACTGTATACTCATTTATACAGTATACAGTATTAACAAGTCCTCAAAGCTGAATGACAAAAGAGATTGTTGTCATTGCCTTCCAAATGTTTCTGATGTTATGCTGCTATTAGCTTGTTTGCATTGTTCAGAAGCTGTTAGAAATAGTCACCCATCTATCCATTATCCATACTGCTTATCCTGAAGAGGATTGCTGGAGCTGATCCCAGCTGACATTGGGTGAGAGGCGGGGTACATCCTGCACAGGTGGCCAGTCTATCACAAGGCTGATACTTAGAGACAGACAACCACACACCCCCACACTCACTTCTACAGGCAATTTAGACTCGCCAATCAATCTAAGCTGCATGTCTTTGGACTGTGGGAAGAAGCTGGAGCACCCAGAGAGAACCCACACAGGCACGGGGAGAACGTGTAAACTCGACAAAGAAAGGCTCAAACCTGGAACCTGCTTGCTGTGAGGCAACAGCGCTACCCAAGCTGTACCTGGCCATAGGTCCTGCTACTATATGCAGCAGTTCTATGTCTGAATGTCAAAAAAACAACAGCAACACGGCTGCACGTAGCCCTCAAACTCCCAGGTACCATGTCTGCAAGGGGCTTATCATACAGACTAAAGCAATAACACCAAACTTCAAGAAAGCTTTTCCATTAGCTGTGTCATGTCTGGAACAACTCCAAAATGCTGTTTTTTTCCATTCTGTCTGAAATAAACATAAGAAACTGTCCTCACAGGTTGCAATTTTTTAAACATCGTTTCCTGATACTGCAGCTCTTATTGTCTTCTTTCATCAAATTTACCACATTAGAGAAAACACAGCAATTATTTGATACAGTGCCGTCAAGAGGAGATGAAACAAATATGTAATGTTTAAGAAATTATCCTGATCAAGCGTGTTCCCTTTGATGTGGGTTGAAAAGGGGAAATGTACTGTAATACCCTCAGACTCCCACTAAATGAGGTGACCTGGTTGCTACTTGATTACTGTAGCTTGTAAAAATATACTGATCATAAGAGATGATAATTACACATTATTGCTACACATTAACACTTTCCAGTGAATTTTCTGGTAAGGGTACAACCCTGGTGAGTAATAACTTATATTTATATTCATAATCTACACTCACCAGCAGCTTATAAAAGCCACTACATATTCATCATCTTCTTTTGAGAGACCCTGCATATTATACAGAACCAGTGTTTTTAATCAGACGATCCTTTTCACAGACCCTGGTTCATTTTTGCTCTGCAAACGAAAGGGGATGAAGCATTACCCACAGGAACACCGCACAAATCAGACTCCCCACTGAACAGTGTTAATGCTGATTAATGAAAGAGCACCGCAACTAGAAAAGCTGCATGGCAGTGACCAGGAACAACACATACCCAAATTCTAAGAATCTCTGTGAGCCCTGCTGTTGCTGCTACACGGGGAAAGTGGAGAGGCCGTGTGAGCCACTTCAGCTAAAACAGAACTATTACTTACTCATTCTACACAGATGCCTTCTGCCATGGCAACACCTATTAGACTCTGAGTTGGCTGATGGACTGCTAAACAGGGGAGCTTTTGGTCAACACTCTCCTGGCCAGATTTCTGAGCTGCCTGTTAGTTTTCCTTGTGAGTATCCAATATAGTCTTTTGTTTCGTGGTAAAATAAGTAATGTCCCAAAGCACAAAATGACTGCAATGCAGATCAAACAGTGATCACTAGCAAAATTACCTCATCAGATGTGATGATTGTTTCTTTATTTTCAGTAGAAGCCAGAGTATAGAAGAAAAACAAATCACACACTGGTACTGAGATGCTTTTTAACATGCCCTATTAACTGCTCAGCAATTGACATCCAACTACATACTGTATATGAACTAAAAAAACAACAGCTTAAAACTCTTCCCTTCATTATTTTGCATGACATTTGCTCCAGATGCAGCTCCCTTGTCCCTTCTTTCAGAGTTTGGACTGCTTTCCACTGGACACAGACACCCTTGTCCTCATTTATGACTCCTGCTGCTAGAGATCATGTCAACTGCCATGGCACCTCCTGTAATACAATCTAATTGGCTGCTGTTAATAAATAAAATATGTAGACCAGAGTTAGATCACAGTGTAGCTCCCAAATCTTGTATTTTTCCTTATTGGCCCTTTTAAACAATATTTATTGAATACATTTGAGGAGAATGTCCCCACAGGCAGAGCAGTCACAAAACTGCAATTATGCATAATGTGTAATGAGACTGACTGTAAAAAATGCATTTTAGACTGTAATTATTTTTATTCTTGACAATATAATGAAATTTTATTAGCCTATATTACATCTGCACACTGTATAGGACTTATAGGAATTTTTTATTTGGTATCATAAATACAACCTAATGTATTCGTTACAAATGGGCTGTTTTACAAGCTTAGCACACAGCAGATATGTCACACAGACAGAAGAAGCTGGGATGTGCCAAAGAGTGAAAATGATAAAATTACTATTACTGCTAAGAGGGTGGCTGCGGTTCAGGAGGTAGCGCCGACATCTCCCAGACGGAAGGCTGGAGGTTTGATTCACGATGCCTGCAGTCCACATGTCGAAGTGTCCTTGGGCAAGACAGTGAACCCCAAATTGCCCCTGATGGCCAGAGAAGCGCCCTGCAGGGACAGTGCCACCATCGGTGTGTGTGTGTGAGTTGGTGTCCCAGATGGCTGCCTTGGTTTTGTACCACAGACAAATTCCTTGTGTGTGTGTATAACATGCTTGGCCAAATAAAGTGATTATCAAGAATGAAGGCAT